TTACCGGAGCTATTGAACGTTCTAACATTTGCAGTGAATTTCAATTCACTATCTAAAAAAAATAAATGAGCGAATCCTGTTAATTTGGAATGAGGTGATTGTTTGCAAACGGAGGTTCGAAAGCTTCAGTAACAATAATATTAAGTTAGTTTTCTTGCAAAAAATTTCCTAGTATCATTTCTTGAAAATCGACCCGACTAATAACTTAGATAAAGAAAGGGGGCTGTATGAAATGAGACACGCTGTAGAAACGTTAATGTTGATTATTTTTTCATGAAACTTGGTACAAATATCTTTCAAATGACGTCGATTCCAGTGGCTTACGCGTTTTTTTTTTTTTTAATTGCTAATATGGATTATGGCCTTTGAATGTGATCTAGTAGGCCTTGGTTTATGAAAAAAGTGGAGGCCGCTTGGCTCGAAAATATACCTTTCCTCCCTCTACATTTCAAAAACAAAACTCGTGAAAATCAAAAGTTGAAAATAAATCAATACCTACCTTATCCTCCCAAGATACGCTCGATATTGCTTGAATATAATAGGGATTCCCTTCCGTGCCTACCAAAAGATTTCAAGAAATTTAGGATCAGACCCTGTTTATTTGAAATTTTCTGTAGAGAAAATCGAGAGGTAAAGTACTGAGTAAATTCATTTTAAGTCAAAACATCCATATTTGAAGAATCTCCTGAAACAGGTTGATTTTTATTTTCAATTTGCTAATGAAATAAATGAATGTATTTAGTACTTTACCAAAGCACAAGTGTAACTATGATCCATTGCTCAAAGGACAACTCACTCTACAATCATTAACGATTTCACTAAGTTAAAACTTGGTATGCCCATTCATTCATGCACCTAAATTGAATTTTATCTTTCATTAACTATTCGCTAGAAGATGAACAACTTTAATCTCTTAACGACAAATACAAATAAAACTGTGACTTGCGCAGCCGCGATTCTATCATAAGTCAGACAAAGAATTTCTTCCTCTTCTTTTTAAAATGTGGTAGGAAATTCTGAAAATTCTAGTCGTATGTTCAAATTAGACTTTGAAAACAATATGAATGAATGATTCTTATTGTAATTATGTGATCACTGAATGTTATATATATACAGGCTGATTCACGGTGGATGGCACATTAGACGTTTCTGGTGAACCAGACAACGGATCATTTTGAAAATTCAATGGAGGGCATATTCGGACATTCTCTAGCCAACTAAAATATTTTCGACAATGCGGTGTTGCCGCTTCTATTAGAAAGCAGTAGCAACTTTGATTTTTCAAATGGAACACTCTGTATTTTATTGCATTTTTAGATTCTCCCTGAAGAGCTGATTTCATCGATGTAGCACACTTGGGGTCTAGCGGAAATGATAACAGAGATATAGGGTGTGAAAAATCGACATTTTTCAACTTTAGGATTTTTTTGTGTCGAAACTATTCATCATTGGTCAAAACGGCTCACACGTCCCTATCTCAACTTTTGATTAACTATCTACTGATATTAAATTGGGACATATACCGGGTGATCAAGATTCTGAATTCTGCACCACCCTGTATTTGTTTCAATTTAATGTTTGTAGATAGTTGATCAAAAGTTGAGATAGGGACATGTGAGCCGTTTTGACCAATAATGAATAGTTTCGCCAAAAAAAATTCCCAAAGTTGAAAAATGTCGATTTTTCACACCCTATATCTCTGTAATCATTCCCGCTAAACCCCAAGTGTGATACATCGATGAAATCTGCTCTTCAGGGAAAATCTACAAATGCAATAAAATACAGAGTGTTCCATTTGAAAAATCAAAGTTGCTACTGCTTTCTAATAGAAGCGGCAACACCGCATTGTCGAAAATATTTTAGTTGGCTAGAAAATGTCCGAATATGCCCTCCATTGAATTTTCAAAATGATCCGTTGTCTGGTTCACCAGAAACGTCTAATGTGCCATCCACCGTGAATCAGCCTGTATATATATTTTCCTCGGGCTATGTACGCTGAGGACTATGTTTGTACCAAGAAGATGAGTTAAAAATTAAAAAGTGGTGGTGCATAAAGGCATCTTAGTCCTTAAATAAAAATAAACTTAACGGCAGTTGATGACCACCTTTACTTCATGCCTTTTGCTATGTTGATTTCGCACCAAAATAGCCGGTATCTCGTATCTCGAAGTGCAGGTATAATAAAATGAAGAAAGAAGAAGGGTCCCTCTTCCCTCGGGATGTCCTATCGATAAGAACATAATGAAGAAAACCGTTATGAGCAGATGTTCGGGAAGGGGAGGGGGTTCATTTGTATAGGTACCTACCTTGAAAATCTCGAAAACGGTCAGGGTCAGTCGTGACTCGTGAGTGCACTCGTGTCTAATACAGTTCTTGCCCAATAGGAAATGGAGGTATTTATTTCAAATTTTCAAATTAATTACCCTATATTCGCTTTTTATACAGTGTGGAGACTTCAAGTGAAATAAATTTGTTAGCGGGAAGGTAAATATTTTTTATCAAAATTCCCGACGTACGTCAACGATTTAGTATTTACCAACCCTTTGCAAGCAATATCGGGAATATATCCCCCTCAGGGGTACCTGAAACCAACCTCAACATAATTTTTTTCAAATGTTTTTCATACGTTTGAAGGTTGCATAAAATTGAAATGTAATTCAAAATTCATTTTTTTTTTCAACGTATCAATCGCTCAAAATGTGTGTTGAACAATAATCGATGAACATTTTTTGCCACAACTGCTATCTGTTATTGTATTCCAATGTTTTCATAGAGCCGCAAATAGTCTTATAGTTTTTTGCCGTGTTCACAGTTTGAAACGAAGTGTTATTGCAAACTGGTGAAAATGTCGTATATCACTGAAAGTTGAAATTTTTATGAAAATACGTTGAAAATATATTAAACTTTGATATAATATTTGATATGATCAGTACGCTGGATTCCTCTTTCAACCAGCTTTCCAATGAGGTGTCGCATGCCATAGAGTTGCATTTGAAAAAACATGTTGGGGTTGATTCCAGCTACCCCTGAATGCTTATATCCCCCATATTGCTCGCCAAATATAGGTAGTAAATACATTCAAACGTTGACGTGTCTCGCGAATTTTCAGAAATATTCACTGTCCCATTAACGAATTTATTCCAGTTACAGTCTCCACCCTGTATAGTCTTTGATGAACATATTACAGGAATTTATAGTTGAGGACCATCAGAGTGAATAGATGAACTTAGTTCTAATGCTATAATTTTCGTCTTCATGATGTTATAGCTTCCACGGGAGTTCAATCTCCTTAAATCGCACTTGTTCGCCATTTTGTTTTCAAAATCAATTTGTTAAAAATGTTTGTTTCATCACCATGATTTACTTATTCTTCTATAATAAATGTTCAATCAACATAACTCTTAACCATAGTTATAATAATTGCATTTCACTTGTTTTTTCATAATGTAGTTCGCATTATCGGTTCTGGTATTGTATAACTTGTCATTTTATCTTTACACTCCGTAGTTTAACCATTTGCTAGATGTTCAGTAAGAACAATTTTTCGTTGTAGATCAACTTTATTGTTCAATGACTGATAATGACAACAATTAGAAATTTAGTATTGTCTACTACTACTCGTAAGTTTTTCTCGTTGATCATCCCTCTCTACCTCGGTTATGGACTACTTCAGAAGATTATACAATTGATGATTTCTGAATTTATATAATAATAGTTAATCCAATTTACGCTTTCTGAAATGCATATGACTATTCTGAAATACAATTATTGACGCTTTCTGAAATATAACTGACTATTTCGATATACAAGTAACTATTCTGAAATACAGTTGACGCTTTTTGAAATACAAGTGACTATTCTAAAAGACAAATGACGCTTTCTGAAATACAAGTGACTATTCTGAAATACGAGTGTCTATTCGGAAATTCAGTTAACGCTTTCTGAAATTAAATTGACTATTCTGAAATACAATTGACGCTTTTTGAAATACAATTGACGCTTTTTGAAATACAATTGACGCTTTTTGAAATACAATATGACGCTTTCTGAAATTGAATTGACTATTCTGAAATACAATTGTCGCTTTTTGGAATACAAGTGACTATTCTGAAATACAATAGACGCTTTCTGAAATACAAGTGACTATTTTGAATTACAGTTGACGCTTTTTGAAATAAAAGTAACTATTCTGAAATACAATATGACGCTTTCTGAAATTGATTTGACTATTCTGAAATACAATTGACGCTTTCTGAATTATAAGTGACCATTCTGAAATACAATTGACACATTCTGAAATCGAATTGACTGTACTGAAATACAATTGACGCTTTTTGAAGTACAAGTGACTATTCTGAAATACAATTGACACTTTTTGAAACACAACTGACTATTCTGAAATGTAATTGACGCTTTCTGAAATTGAATTGACAATTCTGAAATACAATTGAAGCTTTTTTAAATAAAATATGACGCTTTCTGAAATTGAATTGACTATTCTGAAATACAAGCGACTATTCTGAAATTCAATTGACTCTTCTTGAAATACAAGTGACAATTCTGAAATACAATTGACACTTTCTGAAATTGAATTGACTATTCTGAAATACTATTGATGCTTTCTGAAATACAAGTGACTATTCTGAAATACAATTGTCGCTTTTTCTAATGCAAGTGACAATTCTGAAATACAATTGACACTTTCTGAAATTGAATTGACTATTCTGAAATACAATTGACGCTTTTTGAAATACAAGTGACTATTCTGAAATACAATTGACGCTTTTTCAAATACAAGTGACTATTTTGAAATACAATTGACGCTTTCTGAAATTGAATTGACTATTCTGAAATACAATTGACGCTTTTTGAAATACAAGTGACTATTCTGAAATACAATCGACGCTTTCTGAAATACAACTGGAAAAGGTGTAGTACTTGCTACAAGCTAGCTTTTTCACTGAGACCGACGACCGCTGACGTGGCGCTTCGTGTTGCAGAAACTTCGAATGGATCAACCCAACATGACGCTGCTGAGTCATCCCGCAGGCCCCATCCAGCCGCCGAGCGGGCCCCATTCGGCCGCCGTCAAGCGGGGGGCGAGGGGAAACAGACACGGCCCCCTGCACGGCAGCACGCAGGTCGAGCGACTGTCGCTGGGCGATGAGGCGAAATTGGTAAGAATGGTCGTGTGTATTTTTTTGTTCGTATGTTACTGATACTATTCTGCCGGAAATTTTCGGCGATTGTTACGATAGCTTGTTGCCTAATAGTTTCGCGAATGACATGGTTTATCAAAACTTTTGAGCCGTAGGCGAGAAGTTTTGGAACAGTGTAATGAGCGAAATTAAACCAGCAAGCTGGAGTATGTCAATCGATGGATATTTTCAGAAAAAATGGTATCACGAGTTGTATTCGTATGATTATTCCATGATTGAGACAATAAACGGGCGTCTCGCGAGAGTTGCGCACACTGCATCCATCATTCTGGCTTCCAACATTAATTAATTGACGTTTTGACTGTCATGAATTTCATGACTGAAAAACGAGGTTGGTTGGTCACTTGTGAGTCAATTCGGCTTCTGTATTGGTAGAGCACATTTATGCAGAGCAAGTCCGATAGAATTTAACAAAAAAATATCGCTGTCATACAGAAGAAACCGATTCTGATTGGTTCTCGAGAACATGAGTGGAATAGTCAACAAAATAAATCAATGAAATAAAGTGTTTTCAAGAAATAAGAAAATAATTGTTGAAAAATATTTAACAGATAACAACTACTTCCTTTTGTAAATCATGTTGTACAGTTCATTCTTAAATAATCCTCTGGACATAGTTATTAACGTTACAAGGCCTATATCTAGCAAATAACGGATGAGGTTGAATAATATTATATAATATTGTAATCCGAGGCGCACCGTGGATTATAACAACCGTATCCTTTATTTGCTCATCGGCCGTGTGTCGTTCAAGACTTCGTAATCCCGCTGGAAGATCATTTTTATTCCGAGGAAAGAACAAACCACGTACCTCGTAATTGTAATAATAATAAAAATCAAAACATCATACATCGTGTTGTTATGGAACATACAACGGCCGCCGGCCGTTAAACAATCTTAACGAACGGAGGCTGTTAACATTAACTTTTCAATGGTCATCTGAATACCATAAAATCAAAATAATAGTATGGGATTACGAACTTTACCTTCCAGTTCTTTCAGAGAAATGACGTGACTATAGTTATGTTTTTAAGCCGCCAAATCTGTTCAACCCCGTCTCTTACGCCTTGTTTTCAACCAAATTTGACCAAATATCAGCATTGGAACACGCATGAATTACATGGTCTTTGTTATTATTATCAATTGGTGAGATAGAGTGGCGCCTTGATTATTAACACTAACCAGGTGATCTTTTTTTGGCCTTACTTCTTGGCTGGTTCGTAGGCGGCGCTAAAAACAAAACAATATTATAATCCGGTCCTGTTGCGACATTCCTCCTTGCATAAAAACATCTACCGATCTCTACCCTTCGATGCGGAACAAAAAGTAATTATTCACCTTGTCGCTCATACAGTGTCTTTCATAAAGTTGGCATCATATGGGAGAAATTTTTAATGAAGATTCATTTTGAAATACGGTGTGGGCGTAGGCAGGAAAAGTTTGTTGCTATGCATCATTCCAAGTAATTTGAATGAAATTGGTAATCAAAATTGACACTGACAGTAGTTGAACACGAAATGATGAAGTTTTCAATAAAAAATTACACAATAGCTATTTTTATATCAAGGGAGGAAATGTACCTTTGCTCCCATGATATATATATGATTTTATCAACGAACGCATTTTTCGAAGCATCATTAGGCATTACAAAAGTATAGTATGCCATGGACAGTTGGCGGCATTTGAACAAAAGTCAATTTGACACTTCTGTCATCATGAATTGATTGTTTTTATATTGTGTAACTGCATTTGAAAGTTTTGATAAGAACTACGTTCGGAATATGAAGAAACATATGATATCATTACAACTCAAGGAGGATATTATTGTTATTCGTTTTCTAATAGTGATACTGATTACTTGGATTGCACTTGAGTTACTCTCTCTTTGTGACCATTGCATTCCACTTTGAGTATTTGGCTTTTTCCTTGTTGAACATACGCCAGTCGGGCGACCACCCACTCCCATTTCATTGGAGTGTTTCTTTCCTTGCCAGGTGGCGTTAGGCGTTCTCATTCATTTCGCGGACGTTGAACGCCTCGTGGGATATAAATGTTGAAATGCGTTTACGTTGGGTCAGGTTCGCACCAGATAGCGGTCAAAAATGCTATCTGGGGCAGCCTTGCACTGATGGAAGCCAACAGCCCAAAAACGGTCTACAGGTAGTCACCCGTTCCTGAACAACTTAGGCGCAGCTCGGCGTTTAGGAAGAAAACACTTGCGATTTTATTCGTCTATACGAATTATTGCATAGATTTCGGGAGGATGTAAACCAATGTTCTGCGTGGCATATAGCCAGGAAAGTAGTTGCTTTTCTCTCGTTATCTACCATTTTCGTTCATTTTATGAACTACTAGCTGACCCGGCAAACGATGTTTTGCCATAAACACTATTTCTAGAAAATATTTTCTTAGTTAAATATTCATCAACACACTTGTTATTTTATTTTCTACTTCTTTTCAGTTTGACTATCCATAAAATCGTGTTCCTTCAGTTTTTCAAACTAATATCTATCCATTTTCTACTTCTTTTTGGATCGACAATCTATCTCTTCAGTTTTTGAACTATACTATCAATTTTCTACTTCTTTTCAGTTTGGCCTCGAGTTTGGCTATCTATTGAAGCGTGTTTCATTGTAGTTCTTCGAACTATTATTTATTACAAAGCTATTTCGTCATATTGGATACGCCATCTTGTATTTCCCAATTTTGAAGAAAAATATCATAATCTCCGACCCCGAAAACCTCCAGATTCAAATTTTGATTACGTTTCAAAATCACAAAACTCGGCCATCTTCAATTACCTAATTTTTACGTTGGAATCATAATCTCCGGCCCCGAAAATCTCAGATACCAATTTTGAATAGAATTGGATCATAATAACAACTTGTTCGCTATATCAGATCCGCCATCTTAAATTTCTCAATTTTGACGAAAGAATCATAATCTCCTACCACGAAAACACCCATATTCTAATTTTGAATAGAATTGGATCATAGTTACAAAACCCGTCCGCCATATTGGATTCGCCATCTTGAATTTCCAAATTTTGATGAAAGAACTAAAATTTGCCTGATCATAAATAGAAAACTCGTCTGCCATATTGGATCTGTCATCTTGAATTTCCAAATTTTTGATGAAATAATCATAATCTTCGACTCCGAAAACCCCCAGATACCAATTTGGAATAGAATCGGTCCATAATTGAAAAACTCGTCAGCCATATTGGATCCGCCATTTTGGATTTCCTATTTTTGACGAATAAATCATAATTTCCGACCCCGAAAATCCCCAGATACCAATTTTGAATATAATCAGACCATAAATAAAAAAAAAACTCGTCTGTCATATTGGATCCGTCATTTTGAATTTCCTAATTTTGATGAAGAAATCACAATCTCCGACCTCGAAAAACGCCCAGATACCAATTTTGAATGGAATCTGACCATAATTACAAAATTCGTCCGCCATATTGGATCCGCCATCTTGAATTTCCAAAATTTGACGAAAGAATCATAATCTCCGACCCCGAAAACCTCCAAATACCAATTTTGAATGGAATCGGATAACAATACTCGTCCGCCATCTTGAATTTTCGATTTAAAAAATAGATTACGACCGATTCTCATCTACGGAATACGTACAAAAAATTTCATACGAATCGGTCGAGCCGTTTCGGAGGAGTTCGACCACTAACACCGTGACCGGGACAGGAGAATTTTATATATTAGATTGTGGTAATGACTTTGAGTTTATCTCTTTGTGACCATTGCATTCTACTTTGAGTATTTGGCTTCTCACTAGTTGACATTATTATTAATTTTTTTTATATGATGCCAACTATATGAATTACACTGTTGATACCGTCACCTACTGAATAGAATTTCTGGCTTCATTGCTCCCATAAGGATGGTTCATCTTGGTAGTGTTGATAATCAAGGGTGGCATGCACTCTGACGTCACGGTCATTGCGTCTAATTTACTCATCTTACCTCTCCCTTAGCTGTACTCGCAAGAGATGGCGTCGATGCCGTCGAAGACGCCCGTCTCGGTGCTGCAGGAGCTTCTGAGCAGACGCGGCGTGACGCCCAAGTACGAGCTGGTGCAGATAGAGGGCGCCATCCACGAGCCGATCTTCCGCTACCGCGTCTTCTTGAGCAACGAGCTGGTCGCCACCGGGACGGGGCGGTCGAAGAAGGACGCGAAGCACGCGGCAGCGAAGAATCTGCTGGATTTGTTGGTGGGGAAGGTGACGCCGGAGCAGGCGAACCAGACGAACGGGGCGGCCGGGGCGGTCGATATGTAAGTCTGGTTTTGTTGGTGTGGGCGGGCGGGCGGTTGCCCTTTGCATTGTTATGTTGTTTCTTGTTTATTGTGTGTGTTGCTTCTCGAGGAGACGCTTGTCATACTATGTACAGATGACTCAACTTGTGTCCAATCCCGATGAAATCTGTCCAATCCAAGGTCCATTCTTAGCACAATATTCCTATTCTCGCAATGGAAATGTCCAATCTCCTATTTTCAATATTCAATAATAACCGATAATATCTTTCCAATCCTACGTCTAATCTGTCCAATCCGTGTACTTTTTTGGCAGAGTGGATTACCCCTCGGAAATTATTTATATTTTAATGCTACTAAAGCAAGTTACATCAGCTTTCATACCCAACAGAACACTGAACAAACTAATATTTAAAGTTCAATTAGCTTATTGAATAAAAAATGCTATCAAATCAGAACTTTGAGAACAGTGTTGAATACAGAGAACCTTTTTTTTTTTTTTTTTTTTTTTTTTTTTTTTTTTTTTTTTTTTTTTTTTCATTTCATTTTGGAGAAGTGCAGTCTAGTTTCATTTATGGTATAACAATATGGGGTGGCACTTCATATTCACAAAATGTATTCAAAGAGCGGAAACAGATTACCAGATTATCAGATGCATTGATACAGTGTCACATACGCAGTCATGTAGACCCCATCCGTGTTTGCCGTTTTCACTCAGGTGGTGAAGAAGAACTCCATCCTTGTAAACCTATTACAAGGCTTCTTTGTCTATATTTCTAATCTTCCTTCATCTATAAAGAATATCAACTCTCTAACAATGATTCCGCAGAGTTATCCCCACCATTCGCGATTTCATTCGTTAATTCCGTGTTTGGCGTTAAGCATTGTAGGCGTGTACTTTTTAATGATTTATGAATGCACGTTATGTCTAATTGCCGGTGAGTATTGAATAAAAATTTATATTATGTTGAACTACCACACATTTTTCAAGGGTTTATATGTCATGCTCTCGTTTAGAAGCTATTTTTATCAAATATGCTCATACATACAGCATACAACTCACATAATAACTAAACAACGTGGCGAAGTAAGACTAACTTGCAGACTCAGGGTGTTCTGATTATAGGGGGGTTGGGACTTTCCATATATTACCTTCATTTCCTTTCCCAGCACCAACCAGGTGGTGTCGCCCTACGACGACAAAGTAATAGGCAACCCCATCGGGTCGCTGCAGGAGATGTGCATGTCTGCTATCAGCACTAACCAGGTCGTCTCCCCCTACGACGACAAGGATTCCGCAGTGTTATCCCCACCATTCGCGATTTCATTCGTTCATTCCGTGTTTGGCGTTAAGGATTGTAGGCGTGTACTTTTTAATGATTTATGAATGCATCGCGGTGTCATCTACTGTTATTTAGTCTAAGGTTGAAGCCACGTTATGTCTAATTGCCCGTGAGTGGTGAATAAAAATGTATATTTTGTTGAACTACAACACATTTTTCGAAAGTTTCCGTGACATGCGCTCGTTTATATGCACATACATACAGCTTACAACTCACATAATAACAACAATGTGGCAAAGTAAGACTTACTTGCAGAATCAGGGTGATCAGATTAAGGTGAGTTCCCAATGAAGCTTTTTTGCTTTTCGCGTCACGCGTCACTCAGTCTGATTGGTGACGCGTAATTGAAAATTGCTGCACTGTTTTTTATCATTATCTTCATTTCCCAATGAAATTGTCAATCATTGTCTCTTTGGTTGAGGTTCGTATTGAAAAATCATGAGAATACTGAAAATATAGGATAATACTTGCATGATACACAGAGCAGAAAATAGCACAGTGAAAATGAGATAATTAGGTAGGTACCTCAGTGATACTGCAATGATTCAACTAACTATGAGATTAATTACACTCTCAGGAATGAGGGTTAATAAAATGCATTTAGAATTTCTCCATTATCATGAAAAATCCTGTGTAATGAATATCAAGGTTTCTGGAACATGACCTCAACTCAACACAAAGCAGCAACGCCAAAAAGTTTAAATATTTTAACTTCAATGCGTCAAATATTTTTCAAGCTCAGCGTCACCAATCAGGTTGCATGACGCGCGACGCGTAAAGCAAAAACGCTGCATTGGGAACTCATCTTTATAGGGGATTGGGGCTACGTTCAGCGGCAGGTCTGGACCACCGTAGTCGGACCACAACAAGCATAGGAGTTCTGAACGACATCGGTCCATGCATTTGTATATGGTACCTATTTGTCAAAGTTGTCATGAGAATCCCCATTTGATGTGATAATTTCATTTTTGTTTCGAAATTTTAGTTGTTTTGAGTGATATTTGAACGATGGTGCTTGTTATTGAAATCAGTTAGGTGGCCATTCTCAAATATAATATATATATCGGCCGATGGTGGATGGTGGTGGTACAATGAAATTCATTGTACCAGTATTTCACCTGATGAAGCTGTGTTAGCGAAACATGTCGTGTGATTAAGAAATTTATGGAAATCTCATCGTTTGTGAAGTTTTTACATTGTGTATATTGTATTCCTCTGCAACAGACTCCTTTTCACAACAGCATCGATTTTGATGAAGAATTTGCAAAAATCTATGATATTAGGAATGAATGAGATGAAGTTTTAAATTATTCATAGTGTAAATCATAATCTAGATTATATTTGGAATAAAACAAAATTAGGTGCTGTAGTTGTATTTATTTATTATTACTGAGAAAGTATTCATTTGCTACTGAAATTGCACTGGATTGTTTCACAACAATAATGATCAGTCCTGTGAAAGTTTCATCAACTGGTGAGGTAGGTCTACCTATATATCCTTTCAGCATCTTTGTCATTATCAGATTCATTCCTGTTTCTGAGGATAAGTTATTAGATTATATAGATTGGAGAATGATTGAAGACATATTTATGTTTTATACCAAAATGACAGGTTTTACATTTTGGTGCAATGAATTGCCAGGGAATTCTGTAAGGGTATTGCATCTGCTTCAAAAAAATATACATTTGGAATTGAAGGACATTATATAAAGCAATGAATAGATTAAAAAATTGAAGAAATCACCTTTATAATCTGTCCCTTAGAAGTATCTGCTACAGACAGACGTATACATTTGGGAATGGGCATAGTGGAAGGAGAAGATGGTGTGCTCAACAGAAACCTCAAACTCGTCTTGTTCTGCGCATGACGTCAACTGGGATATAAATGTCATTGTTATTATTTGTTTTCGTGATTGATGTCTCGAACTTCAGATATTATATAAGTACTAAAATTGAATGAAATAATTTCGAAATGCCCACTTGTTTCGTTTCTGGTTATGGAAATTCCAACTAACATACAAAAGGCACAGATATTGAATTTTTCTGCTCTTCCAAGAATGGAGACCTAATGAAACGATGGGAGCTTGCTGCCGACAGAATATAAACTCAAATAATGGTACCTACCTTATATTCCTTATATCCTCATTCCAAAGTATTCACCTATCATATTATCATCACATCCATATTACAGCACGTATTTCTTCTAAACATTTCCATGCAAAATGTTCCCAAACAACTGCAAAAGTACGGTTCTTGACAAAAAATCACAAATATTTTAAACAAGATGCCATTCCTACAGAACATCTTCCGTCGAATATCAATTCAGAAATAATCGAAAATGAATTCAAAACTCTTAATTTCTCAGAAAATATAAATTGCAGCAAAGATTTGAATAACAAAACGGCAAAAATTGATACTCATGTTGTCGATGTCGGAGCAGGAGCAACGTCAACGTAGTTAACTGCTGAATTTTAATCTGTCAGAATCGACACAGTAGTGGATCATTCAGACGGGATTGGCAATGCATGATAATTCGTATGTAATTGCTATTTGCGATTGCGAATTACCTCAAGATCACAATTTCCAGAATTAATGAAATAGTAAAATCGAAGGAATAGGTACCTGTTTATATAAATTGAATTATTTCTAAACAGATCGAGAAATTCATAGTTTCAATGAACATGATCGAATTCATTGCGCACGCCTATGGCAACGGTATCTGTCTGTGACTAGCAGCTGATATTGGTATCCCAGATGACGTCACATAATATGCGCGTAGGCACACCATCTTCTCCTTCCACTATGGGAATGGGCTACTCCCATTTTTTCATATGTTCTGCCACATTTTGTATGATTTTGCTTCTGGTTGAAAAGCTGTGTATCGATACATTTTGTATCTTTATACTGTTCACACTGCGGCACGAAGCAATATCTCTTGAACTCGCTGCCCATCATTTATCTCACCCGCGAAGAGATTAGTTCAAATTCGAATGCATTTGCATGTCATAAATTCATGTCAAATATAACTGACGTTTACTGACGGAAACAATGGACTGAACGATTTAGACCATGCTTGGCCTGATTTTAAATGAGACTACGTGGACCACGGTCTGATCCATAGTCTGAACGAATTGAGACGAATTGACCATGATCCGACCTGCCACTGAACGTAGCCATATATTACCTCCATTTCCTTTCTCAGCACCAACCAGGTGGTGTCGCCCTACGACGACAAAGTGATGGGCAACCCCATCGGGTGGCTGCAGGAGATGTGCATGTCGCGCCGCTGGCCGCCACCGTCCTACGACATGGAGCACGAGGAGGGGCTGCCGCACGAGCGCCAGTTCACCATCGCCTGTCAGGTGCTCAAGTTCCGCGAGATCGGCACTGGCAAGTCGAAGAAGCTGGCCAAAAGGATGGCCGCCCACAAGATGTGGCAGGCGTTGCAGGATCTGCCGGCCGAAGGGACCAGTTTGCCGTCGGTGTTCGGCAGCGATGAGGACGTGAGTTGTTTTGTATTGTTTGCACGAATGATTGTACAAAGTGTTTGTATTTCATTCAAAATGATTGCATTGACATTTTCTAGAAGAGCGCTTTTGACTACCCGGAAATCACCGATGCGTTCCTGTAAATTAGTAATCAACTTGTTGACAGGACAAGTAATCAGGGTTGGAATGAGTTATGACTTTTAAATAAAAGTCCGACTTTTCGAATTATTTCTATAATTCTTGCAAAACATACTGAAATTATTGATTGAATGAATATGGTGAATGCAAGTGCAACTTATTTCTGAAGGACTTTCTTACTCATACTCTTCATTAGAGCTGTGGCAATTTTTTCATGGCTTGTTGCAGGAAATGGACCTTTTTGAATTGCGGCAATTTGAATTGCTTGTGCAACTCTATACCTTTTCAACTTCAATTTCGGAATCGGTGAGTTATATTTCGGAAAAAGTAATCTCGATTTCAGAATTGGTTAGTTCGATTTCAGAAATGGTAAACTCAATTTCAGAATCGGTGAGATGAATTTCAGAAAAAGTTCATTCAATTTCAGAAATGGTGAGTTGTATTTCAGAATTATTATTGGTAGGTTCAATTTCAGAAGATGAAATCCTTTTATATGTTTGAAATGTTTTTAATTGCAAAAGAGAAGATTGTTTACAGTGGATGGAACGTTGTTTGAGAGCCCTATGTTGAATCAGATTGAACATATATGGGGTGCCTCAGAAGTGAAGAGCTTCTTGCAAGAGCATCGCCAAAGGGTCATAGCTGGAGATCCGAACAGATTGCTCAACCAGATAGAATTCAGACTGCAATGTCATGAAGAATGTGCAGATCATTCAATGAAAATGATAACACCTCAAATGTGTTTGCATTCTTATAATCATGTGCAACGCCACTATCTTCCAGCGATTCAGATGGAAGGCATATGTGGATTAAATTGTTTTTGAAAAGTTGAATATTTTAAATATGGTTTGTTAATCTCACATGCAATTGGAAACATTTCGTACAAATATAAGGATTTTTCTTATGATATTGAACCTACCAATTCTGAAATACAACTCACCATTTCTGAAATTGAATGGACTTTTTCTGAAATTCATCTCACCGATTCTGAAATTGAGTTTACCATTTCTGAAATCGAACCAACCAATTCTGAAATCGAGATTACTTTTTCCGAAATATAACTTACCGATTCCGAAATTGAAGTTGAAAAGGTATAGTGATAAAGTGGTGGATTTTAGATATTTTATGATCTATATTTTATGCAATATTAATTATGCAGGCATTGAAAGCCGGTCATTCCTATTCAGTGTTGAATAACATGATTATTGCCGGAAATGTGAATTGCATGCAATGAAATATTGAAAACTCTAAAGCCATTCTGAGAAAAGTGAATTTTCCGAGAAAGTTTTGGCTTGTAGGAGTTC